TTTTTTAGCTACCCTTTTGCGACTTTTAGCTTTTAATAGTTTTATTCAGTCTTTTAGCTATATTTTTGCTACTTCTGAGCTGTCTTTACTACTTTTATTTTTAGATAACTTTTGCTACTTTTAGCTGTTAGACTCTTCGGTAAATTTCATTGTTCACTCTGTATTTTTACAATTTCTAAATTAGTCAGTCATTTGTAACAAATGATTTCTCTTTAATATTGTAGATAATAAACAGCTCAAAATAAATGTAATGGTTTTCTACTTTCTCTCTTTATTTGAATCTTTCTTGTGTTTTCGCAGGACGATTAAACTGCTGGTTTATGAATGAGTCCGTTCCCGATGAGCACACGTCTGTGGAAAGTTTACAGGTAAGCTCTCCGTCACGACATGAAGGCAAAGGAGGTGTATATATATATAWAAAAAGCTCACGTATGGAGGAAATCTCCTCCTCCTCAGAGAAGGGGAGAGAAAGAAAGATGAGGAATGCCTTCCTCATTACACTGCTGTCATTTACTCTTCATCCCCCACACTCTTTAGTGGCATTAAGACAGGATGTAAATTTGACAGTTAACGCTGTTAGAAAATGGCTGGTTCAAGAAGGGCAGGAATTAGAGATGGGCATTAGGCGCTGATAAGCTCCTTTCCTCTGCTGCGGCGGCTGCTTAACATTCATGGGAAAGTCATCATCAAACAACGTTATCACAGCTCTGTTGACGGCTGAGGAACATCATCACTATGATAATTTTTTTTCATAGCTGTGAGCCAAAAAAGCACTCTTTTATTTCAGCGGTTTGTTAATGAGATATGAGCTTGTTGGTATGGGTGTATGCAAACTTGCCACTCTCCAGCATTTGTTTAAGCCCCCCTCCCTGCCACCCCCTCCACCCTCCACACTGTTTAATGTTGCGGGCGGAGGAGGGGGTTTATTTAAATGCACTCCTTTCAAAGTGCTGTGTGTACATTGCTGAAGGAGAGCCTTTACCTTTGCAGATCAGTCGCTCAAAGAGAGGAAAACACTCTTACATCAACAAACACTCCTCAGAGCTGGCACCTGTCACTCACCTGGGGTTTAGCCACACGTCTGAGCTGAGAGACGCTTTTATTCTTTATTGGCGCTGAGCGGCCTCCCGTCAACATTAATTTACAAGTTTTACTGCTAACCATAAAAAGGCTACTTATGCTGGCAGGTCCACAATAATAAAGGCTCTAATTCATTTGTTTCTCATCAGAACTCATGGTTCTGGTGTCCTGCTGCCGCTGGAGTAATCCACACGAGCGCCAAAAACTAAGCAGCTTTCTTGTGCATGGGAATAGAAACTGCAAGCTATAGATATCACAATCAGATTTTTGGCTTTATCACTGTTTGTTTTTGTGTAGTTGGTTAAGAGAGATTTTAATCTTTAGAAATCCTTACCGAGGGAGAAAAACAAATCGTCTCYGACTTCTTCTAATGACTTCTAAAACTTTGTGGCGGTACTACACTTGGTCAACAATAGTAAGGTTTTATAGAAAGTATTGCTAATAATCAACTTACAGCAACTTACACTAACTGATCTGAGGCCCAAAAAGGTTTTAATTTCTTCATTGGACTATCAGCACCAAAGCAAAGTTTGCAGAAAAAGATAAACAACAAACTAGAATCATTTTAAAATATGTACTCTGATTTGCTTCCAGCAGTTTAAAGAAAACTCTTCCCTTGTCTCTTGCTTGATACTTTGTCCAAAATTGTTCCTTATGGCCTCAGATTTGGAATTACCGTAAATGTCTAGCAGGTAGAGTTTCCAATTCCTCATCAGTTCATTACAAATCCATATCTATGATCCTTAGTACCTATGATCTCTAGTACCTATGATCCCCAGTACCTATGATCCTTAGTACCTATGATCCCCAGTACCTATGATCCCCAGTACCTATGATCCCCAGTACCTATGATCCCCAGTACCTATGATCCCCAGTACCTATGATCCC